TATGTAGCCTTGGCTGTCCTGGAACTTGCTATGGAACTCGCTGTGTAGACCAGACTGGCCTGAAACTCACAGAGATCTGCCTGTGGGATGAAAGGCATGTACCACCACATTTGGTTTAATTTCTGATTTTTAAAATTTATTATTTCTTGTGTGTGAATGTTTGCCTGCATGTCTGTCTGCGTACTACATGTGTGCCTGGTGCCTGTTGGAGGCCAGAAGAGGATCCCCTGGAACTGGAGTTATATGGTTATAAGCCACCATGTGGGTCCTGGGAATCGAACCCAGCTCTTCTGGGAGGACAGCAAGTGTCTCTGAGCCAACTCTCCAGCTCACGTCTCACTGAGAACTGGGGCTCGCCATTTGGGCTAGGCTGGTTGGCCCCCAGCCCCACTGTCCTCCCATCTCTACTGCCTGCAGTGCTGGAAGTGTAGACACAAGCTTCCCCCAGTGCTGGGATCAAACTCAGGGTCTCCCGCTTCTGAGGGGAGCACTTTACCCCAGCCCCGGGACTATTCTTTCTATAATTAGAAAAATAAGAATGTCCCAGTTCGATTCCCAGGACCCACATGGTGACTTAAAACCATGTAACTCCAGGTCCAGGGGATCCTCTTCTGGCCCCCAACAGGCAGCAGGCACACACGTAGTACACAGACAGACACACAGACAAAACGCTCGTCCCACAGAAGGAGACAGACAGGACCTGAAACAGCAGCAACAGCAATTTGATGACTAAAGTCTCATGTTCACTGTTATTTTGATACCTTTCCTTTAAGGGCTACCTCCATCCCTTTAAGGGCTACCCCCATCCCTTTAAGGGCTACCCCCATCCCTTTAAGGGCTACTTGCATGGAGTTGTTTGTGGGGCCAGGGCTGAAGCTGAGTAGTGGTTGCCAGGTGGAGGAGAAAAGAGAGTGTCCCCAGTGACAGTGACGGGAACAGTGGGGCGTGATGAGCATAGTACAGGTGGATTTGGCCGGGTGGATTGCTGTGGATATTGCTCTGTATAAATAAAATGCTGATGGCCAGTAGCCAGACAGGAAGTATAGGAAGGACAAACAGAAAAGAGAATTCTGGGAAGTGGAAGGCTGAGGCAGAGAGACGCTGCCAGCCGCTGCCATGAGAAGATGTTAAGATACCAGTAAGCCATGAACCACGTGGCAACTTATAGATTAATAGAAATGGGTTAATTTAAGATAGAAGAACAGTTACAAGAAGCCTGCCACGGCCATACAGTTTGTAAGCAACAGAAGTCTCTGTGTGTTTACTTGGTTGGGTCTGAGTGGCTGCGGGACTGGCGGGTGAGAGAGATTTGTCTTGACCAAGGCCAGGCAGGAAAACTCCAGCTCCAAATGGCGCCCAATGTGGGGCTCGAACCCACGACCCTGAGATTAAGAGTCTTATGCTCTACAGTGGATGTGTGTGCAGAGGGAGCAGTGGGCAGTAGCTGGACAGAGAGGCTGAGAACTGGGCTCACCTTTTGGACCAGGTGCTGTGCTTTGGAGTGCTGGCAGCAGGTAAATGCTTCTGCCAGTTACCGGTGAGATTGGGGAGGTGTTAAATGCAGGGGCTGCACTCTGCAGTCTCAACAGGAATGATTTTGAATGAAGAACCCAATTAAGGATCTAACAAAAGGAAAATAGGTAGATAAATGAGCATGTAGTCGTGTGATGGCCTGCTTCCTTTGAAATGTTCATTTGCGAAGGCTGAGTGGAAAACCATGAGGATTATCACACACACACACACACATACACACACACACACAGAGATCCCACCAGGGGCCATGCTAGTTTTCTTTGTATTGCTTCAGTTTAGTGCTACAGAAGCAAGCACAAAGATCACCAGTTGTGATAGTGCTCTGAGACAGTTGTGCTCTGCAGTCCAGGCTGGCTTGGAACTTGCAGCCGTCCTCCTGCCTCAGCCTTCCAAGTGCTGGAACTACAGGTGTGAGCCACCATGCCGAGAAAAGACTATACTTTTGTTTGTTTGGTTGTTTTTGTTTTTCGAGACAGGGTTTCTCTGTGTAGCCCTGGCTGTCCTGGAACTCACTCAGTAGACCAGGTTGGCCTCGAACGCACAGAGATCCACCTGCCTCTGTCTCCCGAGTGCTGGGATTAAAGGCATGCACCACCACTGCTCGGCCAGATTATACTTTTTTTTAAGTGATTAAAGCACTTGCTGAATGAAGTCCTGAGTTCAGTTTGGGGCAAAACTACAAAGAGCTCAGAGCTACACAGAGAAACCCTGTCTCAAAAAACCAAAAAAAAAAAAAAAATAATAAATAAAATAAAATCTGAAAAAAAAAATCCAAAGTACAATTAAGAAACAGCTAGATATATGAAATCGACTGAAGGATTACCCCCAGAGTAGGCATGTGCAGTTGGAAGCAGTGGTTTTGTTTGTTTGGTTTGTTTTTTCGAGACAGGGTTTCGCTGTGTAGTTTTGGTGTCTGTCCTGGATCTCACTCTGTAGACCAGGCTGGCCTCGAACTCACAGAGATCCGCCTGGCTCTGCCTCCCGAGTGCTGGGATTAAAGGCGTGCGCCGCCACCGCCCGGCTCTTTCTACCATCTTTATTGTGGTCATTCTCTGATCATAGTATTTTGAAGAGACGGGTGTTAGTGTATCATAGACGGGGTGGGGGGATTGGGGGGTGTTGAACTTCCTGGACTGAGCAAGGGGCCCAGGACTGCATGATGTTCAGAAGGCAGAAGGCTGGACCCTGGGGGTCATGTGGCCCCGCTCCAGGTCCTGTAACAGAGGGTCTCCTGGGCCTGGGCCATAGACTGCAGAGACGAAGGCCTCCCTCCCCCTGCAGGGCCTCCTCATGCTGCTGCAGAACCTGCCGACCATCCACTGGGGCAATGAGGAGATCGGGCTGCTGCTGGCCGAGGCGTACAGACTCAAGTACATGTTTGCAGACGCCCCCAACCACTACCGCCGATAGGTGCTGTCTCCCCGCCCGGGGACCCGGACTGCCCCCATCTCTGATGGCGATTTCATCACTGTGGCCACTGTGCAAGCCGTGGGCCCCGGCCAGGAATCACTCCTGCTGTACAAAGCTCACCCTCCGCCGCTGCCTCCGCCACCGCCCAGGTCTTCACCTCACAGCATCCGCCACGTTGTCTCAGGATGTGAGTCTGGGACCACTGTCAGTATTCTGTGCCCTGTGGATGGGCCCGGCTCTGGGAGAGGCAGAGGAGGCGACGATTGTCTTTCCCTTCGGGAGACACTGGACAAAAGGAGGGGGGCTCCAGGTCTGCCCCACACTGTCCATATGTGTACCTGCTGGCTCTGCCCAGGACCCAGCGGGTGATTTTATTTTTCTTTTTTCTACATTTTCATGCCCGAGGCACAGGGTATTAGGCTCTCGGGCCGTCGCTGTTTGTGGCTCATCTAATCTCGTCACAGGTCAGAGACACTATGTTTTTGGAAGACCCTGCTGCCCCGCCCCCTCACCTCCCCCTGCCCCAGCTGAGCCAGGTCACAGGAGTGAGTCCTTCCTCTTCAGGGGGAGGAGACACCATCTTCATAACCCTGAGGAGAGGCCTACACTCAAGGGCTAGGAATTGCGTTTTCCCTTTCCTCCTCTATGAATCTTACATTTGGTGTGCATGTGCGTGCGCGTGTATGTGAGTGCGTGCGCGTGTGCGTGTGTGCGTGTGCGTGTGTGTGTGTGTGTGTACAAGCCCATCAGCATTTTGTCACGTCTGAATTTGTGTTCAGACTAACCCGTCAGAAACAGTTGGGAAGGACCTGAGGGACCAAGCATCTGAGGTCCCTTGAGAGGGACCAGGGCAGGGGAGGGAGAAAGAGAGTGGTTTGGTTTTATGGTTTGTTTTTTTTTTCTTTTTTTTTCCCCCACCCCTCTTCTTTCTTCTTCTTTTTTTTTTAACCACCTCTTCAAACCCTTTTTCCAGGGTGAACCACTCCAAGATATTATGTATAAATTGTGTTATTATGTATATGGGTAAAGGTGTACAAATCTATGTCCTCTTTGTAGCAGATATGATTTTATATTTATAGTGTGCATTGACACGTGAACACAATCCAGGTTTGGATGAAGCTGCTGGGTGGGTGGCTTCCGGGGGGGCCTGGGCCCTGGAGCCATCTGGAGCAGCGTGTGTCCAGCGACAAGCGGTGCGTCTGTGTTTCAGCGTCCGCCCTCGCCCGTCCCGCCTCGCCGTCCCTCCGTGGGCCTCTGTGAACACCTAGCCCGGCCTTCCCCTTTTCCGCTGCAGAGCCTCCCTCCGCTCACCCCAGCAGCCCCCCCAGGAAGGACTGCAGAGGCAGACGCCCTCCCTCGGGTTCTGTGTCCCCAGCCTCTTCACCCGCAGAAGTCAGCACTGTGGTCAGGACAGAAGCTGGCTGACAAGTCAGTGCCAAGAGAAGGGATCCCTGTGTGTCCCCAAGGGGGGGCCTCCTCCCAGAGCGGCATTCGTGTCCCCTGTCACCATCACACTCCCCACAGCTCACGAGATGTCGACCCATGCTCGGGTTGTGGTGTTTGGTAGTGGAGAAAGGGAGGATGGAGGCCAGTAGCCGTCCGTCCGTCCGCCGGGCAGCCAGGCAGTGCCCCTGGGGTGACACCCTAAGCTCACTCGCCCGTGTTGTTCCGCCGCAGACCACACCTGCCCCGAGTTAGGTCCCTCACCCAAGCTGTTTCTCAGGCGTTCTTCCCTGTTCCCCGCCCTCCCCTCGGTGTGCCTCAGACTCCTCCACAGATGAGAGGACTCGTGGCCCTCCCTCAGATTAATTAAAGAAAGACACTTGTGTTCCCAAGTGGTGGTTTTATTTTTTTAGTTTTATGTTTGTATGGGAAATTGTGGTTAAAGTGAATGGATTGTAAATAAATGGTGTTTCCTCCTCCACGTGAGCTTTTGTCTCATGAGTTCATGTAACCTGGAATGAAGTGTCCTCTTTTCCTGGGTCTTTCTTGCTGGTGCCTGTAGACTGGGGTGGGGAGGGCTCGAAGTGGTCAGTGGTTAAGAGTGCCGCCTGCTCTTCCCAACACCCACCTCAGGTGAGTCACAGCTGCCTGTAGCTCCAGCCCCCGGGGACCTGCCACTGTCTTCTGCAGGCACTGTCCTCATGTCCACACACACACACACACACACACACACACACACACACACACACACACACACACACACACAGTCTTTACAGAGAAATGGGCCTGAGCCTCGTATAGGACAAGCAGCATTCCCAGAGGACATCAGCAGAGGCTGAGCCCCTACTCTGGGCAAGAGGCTGCAAAGTGAGTATCCTCAGCTGGTGTCTGGCCTAGCTCCTGGTCTCACGTGGTCACATGCCAGCACCGTGACAACGCCCTTACGTGGATTATTTCTCATGTCCGAAGGAGCATACGTCAGAAAGGAGGTAAGAGAATGAACTAGGACTTCCTGCTGGAGGAAAGGCTCGGGAGAGCCAGGGTGAGCCTGCAGCCCTACCACAAGAACTCACTCGATCCCATCTGATCGGAGACGCTGAGCAGGGCCAGGCCTGGCTAGTAATGGGTGGAAAGAGCTGGCTTAATACTTTCATCGCTCAGTTTTGGCTGAGACAGGGTCTTTCGTAACCCAGCCTGGCCTCAAACCCACTAACTAGCTGAGGATGGCTTTGAACTCTTGATCCTCCTGTCTCAGCATCCCAAATGCTGAGATTACAGTCATGTGTCCATGCCCAGCTGACAGCATCATTGTTCATAGAGGAAACTAGTCCAGAACCAAGGCCAGCAGCAGCCGGGTCATGCTTCCTCATGGTTTGCCTGGTTAGTGTCTCCAAGACACTGTAGAGATTGAGGTGTGTGGGACCGACACTGTCCCTCATTGACTGCTGACGGCCATTCATTAAGACTTGTTGGTAACGGGCCATTGCTTCACTCTTGTAAATTTGTATTCACTTTTATGTGTGTGTGCGCCACATGTATAAAGTGTCCTCTGAGGCGAAAAAAGGGCACTGGATCCCCTGGAGCAGAGATTACAGGCACTTTGGAGCCTTCCAGGGTGGGTGCTGGGAGGTGAACTTGGGTCCAGTGGAAGAGCAATGAGCACTCTTTGTTTGTTTGTTTGTTTTTTGAGACAGTTTCTCTGTGTAGTCCTGGCTGTCCTGAAACTCATCTGTAGACCAGGCTGGCCTCGAACTCACAGAGATCCGCCAGCCTCTGCCACCACCGCCCAGCTGCAATAAGCACTCTTAACCCCCTGAGCCACCTCTCCAGCTCTGCGTTGCTTTGTTCTTGGGATCGTCACTGTGAAATAATCTCTGGCGAGTTCTCGGCCTGTATTTTCATCTACAAAGGATACACTGGAATTATGTCTCTACCCCAGATTCCTACCTAGACGCCACTTGAGAGTCTGTTGCTGTCATTAGGAGCTCTGTGTTATGAATAAATTTGTCTGTGTGTGAAAGGAGCCAAAATGAGCGGCTTGTACAAGACGAGCATTTCCTGCTTCACACAGCATCCCCAAGTGGGTAGCTCAGGGCTTAGGGCATACTGTTCTGAAGTTGATTGGAAGAATTACTCCTGCTCTGTGTCTTCGTAGTCAAGATGGCACATAGTTGAGTCTGTTAAGAGTGCTTGCTTATCTTGGAGGACCAGTGTGTTTCATTCCCAGGACCCACATCAGGCAGCTCATACCTGCCTGGAATTCCAGCTCTAGGGGATCTGGCACCCTTTTTTGGCCTCTGGAAGCACTCTCTAATATAACAGCCCTTTGTAGCCTCAGATATTGGAATAGAAGCAGCCAGTGTTACAGCCCTTGCCCTGGACCCTGGGATACTTGACCTTGAAGGCTCTGGAACTCTTGTGGCAGCCAAGGCCTGCAGGTTCTCTTCCCTGGCTCTGTACTAACCTTGTGTCAGCTCTCTGCTCTTTCCTCCTCTCTCTTCTCCTTCCACCCCTGGGAAGGAGGTGCCAGGCCACTCTCCAGCCTCCTCTCTTTGTTTTCTTGAGACGGCATCTCACTATGTAGCCCTGGCTGGCCTGAGACTCTCTGTGTAGACCAGGCTGGCCTCGAACTCACACAGCTCTGTCTTTCTCTGCCTCCCAAGTGCTGGGATTAAAGGTGCACCATTATTTACAGTCATACTTCTTTTTTTTTCTTTCCTTCCTTCCTTCTCCCGCCTCTATTTTCTCTTTTCCTTCTTTCCTCCTCTCTAGCCTCCCACCTTAGTACTGGGGATCAAACCCAAGGATTTGTATATGCTGCATAAATACCATCTCCCCCCCCCCAGTGATTTCTATAGTCCCCAAATAGCCAACTATCATAAATCATCCCAGGCCTACATTTGACATCCATAACTCTCTATCACTTGCAAAATAAGCAGCCAGAAACTCACACCAAAGGAGAGGAAAACAAGGCGGTATTCCTGATTTTGCGTTCCCACTGCTCCCCATCCCTTGCTTCCTTAATAAAATCAGATGTGCAATAAATACTTGAGCTTGAAGCTGATCCTTGGCAAGCTGATGGATGTGTCAGCCAGGCTCCAGATGGAAAAGAAATGGGGTAATCTACTGAACTGATTTTGAGTACTTCCAAAATATCCACCTTAATTACTGATCACAGATAACCTCCAGAATGTAAGATACTTGATGACTCATTATAAGTACTTACAAAATAAGCTTGATTAAAGGAGTCAGAAATATCATACAGCTCTGTTTACATAAAACAGCATTTAGTACACAAGTTGTCCGAAGCAGATGCACACCGCCCCACCTGCCACCCCCATCTCCCTCTGGTTTCCTAAGGCATTTTCCTCTCGAGGTTCAGTTGGTAGGATGCCTACCTACCATGCACAAACCCCAGCAATGTATAAACCAGATGTGGTGGTTGGCACGTACCTGTAATCCCAGCACTCAGGAAGAAGGAGGCTGGAAGGTCAGAAGTTCAAGGCTATCATCCTCAGCTACATACGGAGATTGAAGGCAAGCTTGAGTTACGTGAGACTCTAATCACAGTCTCAAAGTAAGTAAATAAATAAACCAGTTCCCTCTTGAAACCAAAGCATCCTTTCCTGACTCCTTCCATCTGAGAAGCATTGATCCTCCCCTCGTAGTAAGAGCACCGGAGACGGAGTGTAGACAGAGCAGGCAGTTTAGCCTGGCTTTGCAGGGTGTCGTCCCTACAGAGCGGCAGGTGCACTGCTGAGCACTGCACCCCTTCTTCCCTCCTCCCATAACTGAGGAATCAGGAGGGACAATCTTTTGTGTCATTCAGGTCCTAACTTGTCACAGTTTCTTTTTCTCAGCAGCAATTGTGAGTGGGTTCATCTCCGCATCTCGCCGCCTGTTCGTTTTCAAGCTTGTCGGGAACGTGACCTGGTAGGCGAGCCTGGGTGTTGGTAGTTTTCCACTCCACGCTTCCAGGTTGGGTGGAGTCGGGGTGGGGGGTCTGGCTTAACAGAGTCTAAGTAGAGGAATAGCTGGACTAGCAAGCATTCGCAGGGGTCTGGTGTTTTCTATCCAATTGTAGCAGGTTGGGGCCGCCTTGGAAAGGAACCATCAGATTGTATTTCTGACATTTCAGCTCGAATCTTACATTTGGGGGTAGGGGGCTTTAGAGTGGATGAATAAAGGAGTTATATAAAAGGTAGAACCCTCTAGAGTGTAGGGCCCTCAGTCCCAGCCCCTGCTCCCACCAGACACACTATGCTGGCTCATCCTGGGGGCCGGAGGAGGACCTCGCCCTGAGTCACCCTGCAGTCTCCACAAAGCTCTAGCTCTAGGATAGAGGAACACAGACTTGCCTTGTCAAGCCGGCCTGTGGGAGAGGAGGGAACAGGGAAGACAGCAGGACTCGGCTTCACAAGCTACATCAAGACTCCTTTCCGCCCAGCTCAGCCTTTCAAGACTGAAAAAGCCCGTGTCTTAGCTCCCCTGAACCCCATTCAGGGAAACCACACTTCCCATCATTAGCGGAGCTGCAGCCCACCGTGGATCGGCTCCTGCTCACAAAGGGAGCTGTTGGCTTTAGGTTTTTCAAAGACATTCTTGCTTGGACATGGCTTATGGATAAAGTCTACGCTGAAGGAATCTCTTCTTTCTAACTTTACCAACTTAGAGAGAAACACCTTATTTTTATGTCTCTTGGATAACAGAGAGCAGAAATATCATAGGCGAGGGTTTGGGGTGCGGCTCAGTGGCCAAGACTTGGCTAGAATGCACAAGACTCTGGGTTCATCCTCAGCAACAACAATAACAACAACAACAACAACAATAATTTAGTATAAATAAAACAAAAGTGAAAATACAACATGGGAACAGGAAGTGGTCACTGCAGAAACTGAGACTCCAGTCTCCCTCAACAGTATTGATGATCAGAGATGATGATCATATCAAATATGAGCAGATATTCACCCAGGACCAGTAACATCTGTCTGACAAGAATTTATCTTCCAAACAGCTTCATAAGTGAGTGCTATTGTTATCATCACTCTCCTCTTACATTGGGGAAACTGAGGCTTGGAGCCGTCAAATAGCTTCCTCCGCTCTTACAGTAAATGGCAGGGTTAGGATTTGAACTCACGCAGCCTGGTTCTGCATTCGGTGTACCTCACTATGCTGCAGTCCAGGGAGCTGGTCACGTAGGGACCACCTCTCTACCTACACAGAAAAAGAAAAACAAAAACCAACTTCAGCGGGCTGGAGAGATGGCTCATCAATTAAGAGCACTGGCTGATCCTCCAGAGGACCTGGGTTTGGTTCCCAGCACCCACCTGATGGCTCATGACCCTGGAACTCCAGTTCCAGGGGATCTAAGGACCTCTTCTGGCTTCGGTGGGCATCAGGCATGCACTTGGTGCACAGACATACATGCAGGCATAACACCCATCCACATAAACAACAACAGCAGCTTCAGGCTGGAGAGAGTAGTTGGTGAGGTCAAGGTGCCTGCTGCCAAACCTGACCCCTGGAATCGCCACAGTGGAGGGAGAGAACTACTCCTGACTTCCTCCTGCATCTTGTAGCATGAGCACATGTGCACACACACACAAGAAATAACCATAAAACTTACTTTAGGGCTGGAGAGATGGCTCAGAGGTTAAGAGCACTGGCTGTTCTTCCAGAGGTCCTGAGTTCAATTCCCAGCAACCACATGGTGGCTCACAACCATCTAGAATGAGATCTGGTGCCCTCTTCTGGCGGGCAGGGGTGCATGCAGATAGAACACTGTGTACATAATCTTTAAAAAATAAAAAAAAAGTAATAAAACTTACTTTAAAGAGCTCTGGCAGCTGGCTCGGTGGTTAAGGGCACAACTGCTTTTGAAGATGGCTTGACTTCCTTTCCCAGCATCCATGTTGGGGTGGCTCACAACCAATTATAACTCCAGCTCCGGAGGATCTGACACCTTCTTCTGGCCTCGGTAGGTACCTGCACACATGCACACACATAAATAAATAATAAAATAAGTCTTAAGAAATATGAGCAGCAGGAATGCCCGCCACTTTGGGGATGGTGGTTAAGCAGGCGTGTCTTCTGCATCCTCCCCAGGTTTACATTCTGGCTACAGAAGAGTCCACCGAGCCCTGTGAGGGATATAAGCAGGAAGTAGTTGGGGTTTGGCTTAAGGGAAGGTTATCTGAAAGGAAACATTGGCTCAGGACACCCAAGGCCAAGTTCTCAGCACAAAAGAGATTTATTTGCCACTGAGAGATGGAGGGCAGGGAATAAGAAACCAAGACCGGAGACAGAGGACGAGGGAGAAGGAGAGGGACAAGGGAGAGGGGGCAGGGTACCTGTCCCGGAATAGAGGAGACACACAGACAGGGCGCATAGGAAAATGGCAGTTTATAAAGGTACAAGGGGAACCCCTGTGTTAGGACAGGTGCTTCATTTTAACTGGGCATGTTAATTAGTTGAGCCAAAAGGTGCTTTTGATGCTGGATTTCAATACTTTGACAGTTGGACCGTGGTAGTCAGCCTCAGGAGGAGGAAGTGGCCAAATAAGGAACCGGACCCTGGTGGCTAGCTTTAGGAATGTAATCTAATGGTTTTTACCAAGGCAGAGGGAATGGGGGGTGGGGGCCACGGAGGGTGAGGCCTGCCAGAGCCATATGCTGGAGCGGGCTAGTGTCCCTTCATTCCCACCTTTTTGTTTTATTATTGGGGGTCTGGGTGTTGGGTAAGTGGGTGTCAATTCTCTCTGGCTGCTTCCTGCTGGCACTGGACTGTTGTTGTTAAGGGGACCCAAGGAGGCTGAGTTGTTGATCAAGGCCAGGAAGAACATGCTGTGTCCGTTGATGTCCAGGTTCTGCGGGACCATCTGAGGCTAGGGAGGTGTCATCTGTGAGGCTGGACCAGGATGTAGATTCCAAGAGGACAGCTGAGGCTGGCGCTGGAGTTACTGGAGCAGTCTGTAGTTGATTTGAAATCTGTTGGGACAGATGTGAAGTGAAGCAGTTTAGAAGAAAATATTTTATCTTGGATTACATTTGAAACTCTTAGGTTCATGGTCCTGGAGTTGGAAAGAGTGTTGAGACTAGAGAAATGGGAACCAGTGAAAGGGGGAGAGAGCCCACTTAGGAATAGGCAGTAGCCAGGAAAACTTAGGCTGTTGGTTGGCAGGAGAACTTACCTGAAGTCTGTTTGAGAGTTCTTGAGAGGAGCCAGGAACATTTAGATTGGCTATATCAGGTTAATTGGGGGAACAACCTCTATCTGAAAGCAGTCTCTGGTTGTGTTGGGGAGAATTTGAGAGGCTTCCGTTACATTGGAATAGTTTTTCCTGGGGTGTTTAGGTGGGTTCTGAAATTGAGGTGTTTTAGGAACATGGATGATTGGAAAGGCTCTTGGCAAACTGTCTGTAACAGGTTTTGGGGGTTGCTTCGGACAGGTTGAGAAAACTTAGCTTTGGTTACCAATGGGGGACCTCAATGGTTAAAGGAACAAGCAGTCAGTAGGGGAGGTGGGGCATTGGCAACTTGGGTCTCGGCGGCGAGAGGGACGGCAGCTAACGGAGGGCTACAAAGATGGCTTGTCTTGAAAATACAAGGGCAGATAAATCTTTGTGCTGAGAGCTTGGTCTCGGGGGGTCCTGAGCCGATACTTTTCCTCTCCTTGTCCACCAACCAGGAGTCCTGCCACAAACAGCTGGCCTTCTCTATGGGTCTGTTTTCACTTGTGGATCTAGCCAACCACTGACTGAAAACTTGAAAACCAAACTGTGCTTATATGGAACACGTACACTTTTTCCTACTCCTTGTTCCCTCAACCATGTAGTTAGAACGACTGCTTACATAGCATATACGTTGTGTTAGGGATTGTAGAGCGATGGTTTAGAGCTGCAGCTCTCAACCTTTCACAGGGGTCACCTAAGACCATTGGAAAATACAGATGTTTACATTCAGGTTTATAACAGTAGCAAAATGACAGTTACAAAGTAGCAACAAAAATAATTTTATGGTTGGGGGTCATCACAACATGAGGAACTGTATTAAAGGGTCTGGTTGAAGCATTAGGAAGGTTGAGAACCACTGGTTCAGAGTATAGGAGAGGGTTGGCAAGGTGGCTCAGTGGTAAAGGTGCTTTCTACCAAAGCTGATGGCCTGAGTTCAGTCCCTGGAACACACATCCTGTTAGTCATCCTCTGACATCTACATGTGTCCCTACACACAAAGAAATAATAAATATGTGTAATGAGTGTATAGGAAAGAATATGCATAAGGTGTAGTGTATGTAAATAAACTGCAATTTATTTTATTCATGAAACACTTTACATTTATTTATTAATTATGTCTATATGGGGTCGGGCATGAGTGTGGAGGTCAGAGGACAGTTTGCAGGAGTTCTCTCTTACGTTGGTCCTGGGGGTCAAACTTAGGTCATCAGGCTGGGTGGCATTCACCTACTGACCCATCTGGCAGGTCCTATTTTATATATATATAGTTCTGCCCAGATTAGGACCCCCCAAAGAGACCACTGGAGACCAAAGATGTTCAGAATGCAATAGCAAGGTTTATTTCCATTACAAGTCTCGACAGGGAACTCATCTCAAGCATCACTGGCCTCAGCGCAGTGAGGCAGGAGGAGTTACTCTTTCTTGGGGAAGTTAGTTTTTATAGGCAAAACCCATAAAATTTCTTAGAGGGGTCCATCCTTGATTGGTCCAGTTTTTCCTGGGCCTGGACTTCGTCTTATTTCAGCTTATCTGTTTGCCCTGTCAGGAGTTTTACAACCATCTCCAGGGTCTGGTCATGTTATCTCTGGAGAGGGGGCATCTTGTGGTTAATCGGTTACCATCAGACATCCTGACTTTGTTCTTTTGAAAACACCTGACTTTACCCTCTCCAGGAAGGGGGAACTGACTCAGTTCTGTTTATTTTTAAGATATCTCTTCCCCCAGCTCTTTTGGGTTTCTGGGGGAACTGTGTCTGGGCCTTTGGTGGGGGTCTTTCAATATATATACAAATATATATATAAAAAATATATTTTTTGAGAAAGGGTTCCTTTCAACTCAAGCTGCCTCTGCTGTTAATTTATTTGTGTGGGGGGGGGGGGAGGGGGCGCCAATGCGTGTGGAGATCAGAGGACAACCTCTGGTGTCACTCCTCACCTGTCCACCGTCAGACCTTTTCTTGTCGACCTCCTCGAGCTTCCAGGGGTTCCCGTCTCCACAGGAACAAGGCTTTCACGTGGGTTCTAGGGGTTCAGTCTCAGGTCCTCACGCTTCTGCGGCACACGCCTTTCCCCACGCAGCCGGATCCCAGCACCAGTTTTGCAGTTTTGCCCAGGGACTTTCGGCACACATGGAGCTTGGTATCTATCTGAAGGGCATCTGAGCCGGCCTTCACAGATACCGCGATCACCCATGGCTGTGCTCCACAACCACGTACCCCTGAAGGCCATGGTACACACACTGTCAGTAATAGCTTCAATTTCATATTCCGGCATTCCAGCAAGGGATCAGGGGATGGAGATGGAAAAGACCAGAGTTGGAAATCACTGCTTTAAAAAAAAAAAATGAGATTTTAAAGATTGTATTTTAAATTATGTGTATATGTGTGCCTGTGTGTATTTTTTGTTGGTTTGTTTTTTGTTTGAGACAGAGTTTCAAATGTGTAACAGCCCTGACTGTCCTGGAACTCACTTTGTAGAGCAGACTAGCCTTGAACTCACAGAGATCTGCCTGCCTCAGCCACCCAAGTGCTGGGATTAAAAGGCATGCGCCACCAGCCACCACAGACCACAGTTGGCTGATTGTGTCTTTATACACTTGAATGCAGGCACCCTCAGAGGCCTGAAGAGGGTGCCAGATTCCCTGGAGCTGGAGTCCCAGGTTGTGAGCTGCCCAAAGTGGATGCTGGGAATGTAACTCTGGTCCTCTGGAAGAGCAGCAAGCACTCTTAACTGTTAATCACTTTGAGGATAATTCCATACTGCTGAAGTCATCGGACGGAAGTGTTCATGTCAACAACCTCTAATGTAGCTGGATTTTTCAGTGGGATCATAGGCTCCTCCATAAATTATTTATCTTATTATTTACTTATAATAATAATATAATAACAACTACTTATTATGAAAGCTCGGCTGAGAGCTTAGGCTTGTTTCTAACTAGCTCTTATATTTATTTATTTTATTTATCTTAAGATTTATTTATTATGTATACGCTGTTCTGCCTGCATATATGCCTACACACCAGAAGAGGGCACCAGATCTCATTACAGATGGTTGTGAGCCACCATGTGATTGCTGGGAATTGAACTCAGGACCTCTGGAAGAGCAGCCGGTGCTCTTAACCTCTGAGCCATCTCTCCAACCATAGCACTTGTATTTAAAGTAACCCATTTCTGTTCATTTACTTTCCGCCTCGTGAGTTTATTACCTCATCTCTGTACTGCCCATCCTGCTTGCTCTGTGTCCACCTTCCTCTTCCCAGCATCCTCTGGGCCTGGAAATCCTGCCTAGCTATTGGCTGTTCAGCTTTTTATTAAACCAATCAGAGTGACACACCTTCACAGTGTACAAAAAGGTTGTTCCACAACACTAGTAAGTATGCACGCTTGTGCAGCTCTCAATTTGAATGCAATCTACTTTTAGAACATTGTAAATAGCAGCCTCTCCCCTGCTCCTTCAAGTCCATTTGCATTCAATCTGCCCTCTCACACGCGTAGCCCCAGGTACCTGTGTGCTGTCTCTATCGATTTGCCTGCTATAATTTTTTAAAACTCAGTAACAAAAGGAGGTCATGCAAAAAATAGATGCTAAATAGGAACAGACCGAACCAACTTTAAAATGAACAGAGTTTTAAAAGTTCCTCCAAAGCGGGCTGTAAGGGGCAGAGGGATAATTTAGCTACAGAGTACATCCTTCTTGTCATCCTCTTGGCCCTGGGTTCTATCTTCACCCCAAACCCAAAGTAGGCTATAGGCATCATCAGAATGTAGTTATAAAGGAATGTTTGTCTGTTTGTGTGTGTGTGTGTGTGTGTGTGTGTGTGTGTGTGTGTGTGTGTGCGCGTGTCGCCCTATCCCAGGCTAGCTTTGAACACACTGTGTAGCCAAGGCTGGCCTAGAATTCATCTTTCTGTTTCTACCTCCTCCACCACACCCTGCTAAAGAAAAAAGGGCGGGGTGGAAATTACAGGTTCGGGTTCGTAGCTGCTAGACCTGGGGTGGTGGTGGCTTTGGAGAGCAAGGAAGGGAAGGTATTAGGCTGTGGGAGATAGAGTCACGTTAGACCCACGAACCCAAGGAAAGCGGTAGTGTTTCTTATTTTCATTATTTACTATAGTTTTTAAGTATTTGTGTATACACACAAACCCGCCGTGGTGCCCAAGTGGCGGTCAGAGGCCAATCCGAAGGGTCGGATTTCTCTCCACCCACCAGGTAGGGGAAGCCTGAGGATCGGACCAGTAAAGTCGCCGGGCTTGGCTGCAGGCAGGCGACTTTACTCGCGGGGCCATCCTCCAGGGCCTATTATTATTTACTGTGCAAGGTTTTGGACTGCCCTGGAACTTTCCATCCCCGACCTCCCTCTCCGATCACTGACCTCCCTCCGCCAGGGGCGTTGGGTCAGCTCTCCCGGCCCACACCTCCCCGCCCTTCCGGCCCGCGGCCCCTGACTTCCCGCTGCGCACGCGCGCGCTGCCCGCCTTCCCAGCCCCAGCGGCGGGCGGGGCGTTCGCATCGACTCGGTTCCCGGGCGATTGCTTCTGTCTGTGGTTGAGTTATGGTGCGGGACGGGAGCCCCGGAGGCGGCTGGCACCGGGGCTGGAGCGCGGCTCGTTGCTGAGCGCCGCCCCGGTGCCGAGCGGGCGATGGGCGAGCCCGACCCCTTGGTCTCGGGGCAGCTCGCGGCCGGCCGGAGCTGGTGCTTGCGGCGGCTGGGGATGGACCGCGAGTGGTTGCAGCTGGAGGCTGCGAGTGAGGTGAGGGAGGGCGAGCGGCCTGGGGTGGGGGGGGGGGGGGAGAGCTGCGGGAGCGGGGAGGCTGAGAGGAGCGGCGCCCCGCCGACCCGGCTGGCGGGGAGGCACCCGGGGCGGCCGCGGGGTTGGGCCGCCTCCGGGGGCTGGCGGGACCGGGCCGCGAGGCCAGGCGAGGCCGTGGCTTGAGAGGCCCCGGGCTGGTGGGTGGCTGCGCGGGAGCGAGGCCCCGTGCCAGAGCCGCCGTAACGGACGCGGGGCCCTCCGAGAGTAGGCACGGTCCCCGTTAGGGTCTCTCAGAGCCAGCCTTGCGATGACCCAAGTCACACGGGGAAACTGAGGCCGAGGCGTCCCCCACTGACCCCGAGAATGATGGCGCACCCGTCCGGATGGCCGCGGAGGGCGTGTACTCTCTGGAGTTGATTTTGAGGGTGATCACGAGTTTAAAAAAGGTGGCTCACCTAAAATCCACCAACTTTAAATCGGAAAAAAATAAAAGTCTTCCATTCCATCCCCGAGAAGTGGCGCGTTGGGGTGAGCCACGATTGCACCCTCGACGTGGGGCAGGGACAGGCAGCGATTCTCTCCAGAAACTGCTTACAGTGTTTGATAATGCAGGCTTAAAGGGCTGGTGCTGGGGGTCGAACCCAGGGCTTCGTACTCGGAAGGCAAGCACTCTGCCTGCTGTTCTGTAGAGTTCGGCTCCATCAACGCAAAACTGAAAAACAAAAAAGGGAGGCACAGTTATAAGTGGGAAGGCGGTGCTAGGATTTGGTCCCGGAAAAGCCCAGGGTGGGCCGCCTCCTTGCAGTCCGCTCTGTACAGAGAACTGGGTCAGGTACGCGCTTGTTATTCAGAGCCCCTTGGGCTTTGGAAAGCGCAGTACTGAGTGCTGGTCAACTTGACACACAAACGAGTTATATGAAAGGAGGGAATTTTAACTGAGAAAATGCCAACATAAGATCCCGCTGTAAGCGGGGTGGTGGTGGCGGCGCATGCCTTTAATCCCAGCACTCGGGAGGCAGAGGCAGGTGGATCTCTGTGAGTTCGAGGTCAGCTTGGTCTACAGAGTGAGATCCAGGACAGGCACCAAAGCTACACAGAGAAACCCTGTCTCGAAAAACCATAAAAAAAAAAAGATCCAGCTGTAGGCAAGCCTGGAGGGGTGGGGAGGGCACAGCCCACTGTGGGTGGTACCATCCCTGGCCTGGTGGTCCTGGGTTCTGTAAGAAAGCAGGCTGAGCCGCCCAGTAAGCAGCACCCCTCCGTGGCCTCCATCAGCTCCTGCCTCTAGGTTCCTGTTTGAGTTCCTGCCCTGACTGCCTTTGATGATGAACAGTGACCTGGACATGTAATGTAAGCTGAATAAACCCTTTCCTCCCCAAACTGCTTTTTGGTCATGTCATTTCATCGCAATAATAGACATCGTGTAAATTAAGCTCATTGAATTGGTAGGGTTGAATTTTTTTTTTTTTTGATAAGCTGTATATTCTCAATTGAGGGACAAACATAGTTTCTGCTCTTGGAGTTTATGGCTTGGAACCAGGGAAAGAGAATTTGTAGAATGAAGGACGTCTTTCTGGGTTGGCCAAGGTGTGGCTTGTTTATCAATATTCCAGAGCAGGTCCGGCTTTAAATTAGCGGGCATTAGAAAGCCGCTTAATTTTTCATCTGCTTTACTTAATCTGATCCCTGAACATTCATTCACTAGTCTCTCTCAACCCTGCTGGGAAACTTAATCAAGTGTTGACTCACTCACTGAGACTCAGGTCGGGGAACTAGTCCATTACTTCTGAAACGCTTGGCAGCTGTGGGGTAGCAGGGGCGAGAGGCCTGGAGAGCACTCCTCCACACGTTCTGTACTGTTCCATAGACTTGTGTGGGATCACAGCTATGGGGAGAGACCCATGCAAACCAAGAGGATGCTGAAGACCCTCCTTGGGGGGCTCTGTGTAAGAGAAGCCTGCCTGGTGATGCTCAGAGTCGGCTTGTCGGCAGTAATTGGAGCATAGCCTGCAGAGTGGAGGAAGAGTTTGAATGGAAGCCAGGATGAGGTTCTCAGATGATGGTGCACGTGGGTTTGCATCAGGTTTGGGGAGGTGTGCTGGCCTCTCTAATACAGCTGAGGCAGGTTAGCTCCAGGTGTGCTGGCGTCATCTAATGCAGCTGAGGCAGGATAGTTCCCTGCCTTTCCAGTTCCCCTCAAAGTTCAGCTTTCACAGGTAAAATCATAAAACATGGGTGGATCCTCGTATTGTATCAAAGGGAGTCCTTTAGTAGTTTATCTGCCTGAAGGGTGTCTTTAAACTTGGTAAACCAGTCTAGAGATTTTGGTGTAAGCACAAATGAGTAGATTTATTGCAGGCGAGCTACTTCAGGTCTGTAAAGGAAAACTGTGTCTTTGCCTTGTTTTCTCCTCTTGGTGTTCTTGAATCTGGGGGTTGGGAAGGGGAAGGAGTGGTTGGAGTACTTCCTGGTTATTTCAGAGACAGAGCCTTGCAGAGGAGGTGGGGGCTAGTGAAGACGGGCAGGAACAAGGGGTCGTTTATATCAACAACAGTGTGCTCCAGGGTTGTAAATGGAGCAGTGCCCAGGAGAGTTCTTAGGTGACCGACCAGTGGTGCTGAAATAGAGCCATTGTGGACTCTAGGACTGGGCAGTGAAGGGGGGTGACAGAGAGTCAGGGACAGTTCCAGAACAAGGTGCTCTTCTGGTCTTCTGTACTGTTTGCCCTGATGGCAGCCGGGCTGTTTCCCCTCAAATAGAATATGGAATACTTCCTCTAAAACAGCTACCAAATCTGGAAATTGTCAGTGCTTATGGATGGTAGACAATTCCTAAATGTCCCCCATCACCACGCTAGTCCTCAGACCTGACCTGGACATTCTCCGTTTCAAAAAATTTGTGTATGTGTATATGATGGTTGTCTGTATGCTGTGGTGTATTTGTAGAGGTCAGGACAACTTTAGGGAGTTCTCTTCTCCCAGGTGGGCCCAGTTAAGAGATACTTAGACGCAGAAAAGAATCAGGAAACTTAAGATCTGGATCTCAGAAGAGTGTCACTTCTTTCCCTCATGTGTTTATGATTAGGTCTACCAGGAAGTGTGATATGTGGGCATCTGAGCTTTGTTTCTGTCTTCTACAGAAACTCAAGCTGTTCTTGTGGGTAAGTGGGCCTAGGACTCAAGGAATTTGGTTGGTAGACTTTGCAGAGTGTGCACCCCGCGTGTGTATGGGTGCCTGCAGGGGCCAGAAGAGGGCGTTGAATCTGGATTTGGAGTTATGAGCTCTTTTGAGCATCTCTCTAATCCTATTTTATTTTACTTTCTTATGTCTTGACTGAAGATACAACATTAGCTACCATATCAGTTTCATGGAGACGGACGCTAGAAGGAAGGTTGGGGCTGGCTGGCTGGCTGGCAGATTAAAAAGTTAAAGTCTTAACAAGGCAGTGTGCTAGGCTGAACTAACAAGATGAAAATAACCAGAAATCAGCGTCAGGTCCCGCATTGGGATCCACAGTTGCCAACTAGTCAGGTAGAGAGAGAGACAGCATAGTAACCTTGGAAGAGGGAAGATGGAGAAATGTTGTCATTTCTCAGACCGGGGATACCTCGGCAGCGTCCTCGAGTGCGCGTTGTGAAAGCCTGTGCCGCACACAGTAACCATGCCTAGAGCTGGGAAAACGATACATGACTTTGTCTTAAATAACAGCTGTAACAATGAATGAGGAGTTCTCTCATAGACTGTCGGTGACAAACTCTAACTCAGGGAGGTAAGGTAAAGTGGCTGGGACACAGAGGGCCAGGAATGGTGACTTGGGAGATACTTGGCAGCTATGTGTAGAAGGAGATTGGAGATTTCCTGATGTACCCAGGGCAGACCCAGGGCCAGCGGAAAGAATTTACAGAGAAAAGGATGCTAAGTTGGCCATTTCAAAGTCCAAGGCCTGTCTTAGTATGTATAAAGGCAGTGTGGAAGATGAATTGACGGGAATGTGAGGGAAGAAATGATGTCTCACTGGTGACCATTCAGGGTTGTGCTAGCCTGAGTGTTCATATTAACTCTTTTATCTTTTTAAGTTATTATTTTATGTGTATGATTGTTTTGACTGCATGTATGTCTGTGCAACACATACATGCCTGGTGCCTGAGGGGCGGGGCGAGAGGTGATATTTACCAGAAAAGGGCATCAGATCCTCTGCAGCTGGATTATGGATGGTTCTGAGCCACCATGTGGCTGCTGGGAAGACAAACCCGGTCTTCTGGAAGAGACCGAGCCATCTCTCCCGCCCTCCATGGTTAAGTGCTCTCCTCTTACCACAGCTTCTTGCCTTTTTCTCTCTGGTGGCCCCCTGTGACAGCTGAGTGGGGGCAGACAGCAGATGAGAAATTGAGGTTCCATAGGTGTCTGCTTTCCTAAGTCAGGACCTGTGTATGCTGCTGGTTGATTGTAAAGAACCCCCCTTTTTTAGCACAGTGACTGTGTCTTACATTGCCTCTGTCTTTCAGGTGACTATTGGTCGAGGATTTGGTGTCACTTACCAACTGATATCAAAGGTATGCCCTCTGATGATTTCTCGAAACCACTGTGTTTTGAAGCAGAATCCCGAGGGACAGTGGACAATTATGGACAACAAGGTACATGAGCTTACACAAGCCTAATGATTTCTATTGAGTTTTATGCATTTTATTTATTTATTTATTTGGTTTTTTGAGACAGGGTTTTCTGTGTAGCTTTGGCTGTCCTGGAACTCACTCTGTAGATCAGGCTGTCCTCAAACTCAGAGATCTGCCTGCCTCTGCCTCCTGAATGCTAGGATTAAAGGCGTGAGCCACCACTGCCTGGCTGAGTTTTATGTGTTTTTAAACATTATATTATTATTGTAACTTATGTGTGCTTTGGTAGGGGACAGTATGTGAATGTGAGTGCAGGTGCCCACAGAGGCTAGCCAGATCCTTCTGGCCCTGGAGATACAGCAGTTGTGACCACTCGGTGTGGGTGCTGGGAACTGAGCCGTATATGGGAAGCTCTTAACCACGGAGTCATCTCTCCAGCCCTACTAGGTATTTTAAAATTTCCTTTTCTTTCCTTTTTTTGGTTTTTTGAGATAGGGTTCCTCTGTGTAACTCTGGGTGTCCCAGAACTAGCTCTGTAGACCAGACTGGCCTTGAATTCACAGAGATCCACCCGCCTCTGCCTTCCCAGTGCACATTTAATTCTAGAAAAATTTCCTTTTCTTGCATACTTTTTTTTTTAAGATTTATTTACTTATTATGTAAACAGTGAGTGTTCTGCCTGCATGCCAGAAGAGGGCGCCAGATCTCATTATAGAAGGTTGTGAGCCACCATGTGGGTGCTGGGAATTGAACTCAGGACCTCTGGAAGAACAGCCAGTGCTCTTAACCTCTGAGCCATCTCTCCAGCCCCATAAACTTTCCTGTTCTTAACACCTGATAGTTCTCTAATATTCAAAAGTGTAGCCATGCCCTGTTCTCTTTCCCAGGTGCAGCACTTCCGTGTGCTGCAGGAAGTTGTGTTGCAGGAAGTTAGGCTGTGCAAGAGGATTGCCGATGGCCTGGGGTGAACGCTACTTCTAAGGGAGTGTCTGGAGTGGAGCTGTGGCTCCTTTTCCAAAAGTGAGACCATATTTCTGGGGAAACTGGCCCCTTTGAAAGGAGGCAGAGAGCCTGGGAATCTGCCGAAGCTTCTGGAGGGCAGGAGACCTGAGGCAGAGAGAGAGAGCTGCTGTACTGCTCCTTCCCTTGAGCAAGCCCTACACACACACACACACCCCTACACACACCCACACCCACACCCACACAAACACCCCTACACACACACACACACACACACACACACACACAAACACCCCTACACACACACACCTACACACACCCATACACACCTACACATACACATTCACCCTTATACACACACACATACAGACCTCCACATATACCCAAAACCCTTCCACACACATCCCTACATAAACTCACACGCACACATACATATGCACGCACACCTTTAAAATAAACCTGCTTGGGACTGGAGAGATGGCTTAGCAGTTAGGAGCAGTTCAGTTAGACTGCTCTTCAGGAGGACCCGGGTTCAATTCCCAGCACCCACATGGCAGCTCACAATTGTCTGTAACTCCAGTTCCAGGGGACCCAACGCCCTCACACAGGCATACACACAGACAAAACACTAATGCTCATAAAATAAAATTAATTAAGACAAGGGCTGGAGAGATGGCTCAGAGGTTAAGAGCATCAGTAGCTCTTCCAGAGGTCCTGAGTTCAATTCCCAGCAACCACGTGGTGGCTCACAACCATCTGTAATGAGATCTGGTGCCCTCCTCTGGCCTGCAGGAATATACGAAGACAGAACAATGTATACAAAATAAATAAATAAATCTTTTTAAAAGAAAATTAATTAAAACAAAACAAAAAATCCTGTTTAGCTATTGGTGTTCTCACAAACATTTTACTTTGAATAAAGGGTTTTTCTACTTTAAATTTTTGTTTGTAGATTTATTTTATTGTATTACTTACATGTATGTGTATCTGTGTGTATTGTATGCACATTTGTGTACAGGTGCTTGAGGCCAGAGGAGCGGTTTGTGTTCTCCAGAGCTGGAGTTCCAGGCAGTTGTGAGATGGCCCTGTGGGTGCTGGGACTCGCATTATTAGGTTCTCTGGAAAAGGAGCAGGCGTCTGGACTGCTGAGTCGTCCCCTAGTTCCCTTTAAATAAAGGTTAAAGTCACCTGTCTAATGGGAAGTAACGAAGTCCAGGCATTAGGAAGCACCTGAAGTGCAAAGATACAAGCCCCCAGGATTGAATGGAGGTAGACCCTGGAGTGGGGAGGTTTTTAAGATGGGCTCTTGTTTTTATGTAGTGCAGGCCAGCCTCAAACTCACCTGCTACTTGGTGATTTCTACCTTTGTGATATAGAATCTGGCATCCCAAGTCCTGTGAGTATTTTATGTGGCTCAGTCTCTCTGCTTGGAGTTCTTGGTCTGCTAACATCAGCATCATTAGAGTGCCCTGACTTCTGTTTGCTGTTCTAGCCCTTATCTGGCGTACTTGGTTTTTGTTTTATGTGTATGTCTGTGCACTACATGTATGCAGTACCTGGGGAAGGCCAGAGGAGGGCATCAGATTCCCTGGAACTGGAATTACAGATGGTTGTGAACCTCCTTGTAGGTGCTGGGAATTGAACCTGGATCCTCTGCCAGAGCAACTAGTGCTCTTAATCACTGAGCCATCTCTCCAGCTCTGGCATACTTCTTAAAAATTCTGATGAGGGGCTGGAGAGATGGCTCAGCAGTTAAGAGCACTGACTGCTCTTCCAGAGGTCTTGAGTTCAATTCCCAGCAACCACATGGTGGCTCACAACCATCTGTAATGAGATCTGGCATCCTCTTCTGGCCTGCAGGCAAACATGCTGTATACATAATAAATAAATTAAAATAAAAAAATTCTGGCCGGGCGGTGGTGGCGCACGCCTTTAATCCCAGCACTCGGGAGGCAGAGCCAGGCGGATCTCTGTGAGTTCGAGGCCAGCCTGGACTACCAAGTGAGTTCCAGGAAAGGCGCAAAGCTACACAGAGAAACCCTGTCTCGAAAAACCAAAAAAAAAAAAAAAAAAAATTCTGATGATAGGCCAAGGACATGGTTCAGTAGGTAAAGCATTTGCCACACAAGCACGAAGACTTGAACCCCTGGAAAGCCATCCGAGGTACTGAGTGTCTGTCATCCCTGAGCTCCCACAGCAGGTTGGCAGGCAGCCACAGGAGAGTCCCCAGAGCAGCAGCCATGAAACCCGGCTCTCACCAAAGGGGAGGGCAGTTGGTAAACATATTCGATGGTAGTATAAATTAAGGGTTTCTTCTGTTCTTGAAAAGATACCGTTAAGAAAAGGACAAGCCCTAGTGGAAGCGTTTGCTCTGCACCTAACTGGTGAAGTACGCCTGTGTATGTACAGAGCTTCAAATCTGTCTTTTAAAAAGACAGATATAACCCGGTTTCTGAAACAGATTAAAGACAGATACATCACAAACGAGTGTACACATTCTACTCACTATCCGTGAGAAGTTGTTCAAACTCAACGATCAGGGAGATGCAAATCCAAACCACAAGGGACTGACTGCGCCGGCAAGGATAAGGGACAAGTGCAGTGTCTTTCTGCTCTAGAGGGAAGGTGACCTGACATAACCTCTTTGAAAATACCTAACCCATTCAGTTGAACACATATATATTAACAAATGTCTCTAGGAAACGTCCGTAATGCCCACCCACATAGAACGTATCAAAGAGTATTTCCACAATGGACACCGATGTATTGACATAATACTGAGTGAAAACGCTCCACAGCAAGTCGCCAGGCATGTGTATATGCCCACAGTCCCAGAACTTGGGAGGCTAGAACAGGAGATTCCATGCCAACCTGGCTATGTAGCCAGACTATCCCAAAGAAACAGAGTATGGGCTAGGGAGATTGCCAGGCAGGCCTGAGGCCCTGACTTCGAATCTCCATGTAAGAAGCTGTGTGTGGCAGTAGTTCCAGAGCTGGGGAGGTGGTGGGCAGAGGTGGAGTTCCTAGAGCTCACTGGCTAGTCAGGCTAGCCTGATTGCTGAGCTCTGAGCAATCAGAGACCTTGCTCTTGTAGAGGACCCACCTCAGGCGCTTCACAACCACCTGTGACTCCAGCTCTCCACGTCCCCTGACTTCTGTGGGTACTTGACACTCAAATGCGCGTGCGCGCACACACACACACACACACACACACACACACACACACAATTTAAAATAATAAATCTTTCTTAAAAAGTGAGGAAGTCCGGTGTAGTGGTGCATACTTTTAATTCTAGCACTGGCAGGCAGATCTCTGTGAACTTCAGCCCTGTCTGGTCTACAAAGCAAGTTCTAAGCCAGCCAGAGCTACACAGTGAGACCCTGTCTCAAAAAAGCGAAACAAAAGCCCCAGTAAGGTGGACTGGTGCTGGAGAGATGACTCAGTGGCTAAGACCACTGGCTGCTCTTGCGGAGGACCCAGGTTCAGTTTCCAGCACCCACATGGTGGCTCGTAACTGTTCGCAGCTCTGATTCTAGGAGTCTGATGCTCTCTTCTAAACTCCATAGGCACCAGGTGTACACACGGCACACAGACAGACATATAGACAGAATAAACACACATCTAATATGGTGGACATCTGATGGAAACACCAGTGCTGCTCTCTGGCCTCATACACATGCGTACACACACGCGTGCATGCACACACACACACACACACACACACACACACACACACACACACACCAGCAGGAAAGTTAGACGTGAGAGTACGTTTTATATGATGCCATTTAAATCACGTTCAGAACCAGGTGAAATTATTTCGTCAGGGCACTAGTCCCCTTGTGAGGGAAGGAGGGACTGGTTGGTTTCTTGGATGCTCTGATGTGTTTTTTAAAGCCATGTCATAAATAGCACTGAGGTGTTCGCTTTGTGATTATTCATCTAGCTGTACGTTTTTGATTTATCCATTTGCATTTGCATATTGTGTTTTGTTGAAGACATTTAGAGTATTGACCAATACTTTTTTCAGATTGCTAAACTAAAAAGCACGGTATAAATGTCAGTCTTAGTCTCAGTTCAGAAGTGAGTTGAATCTCTGGCCTCTCCCCCAGAGTTAAGAGGCTCACCGGTGTTGTTAGAGCTCTGGCTGATGTTAGGATGGTCATCTGCATTTAGTATCCCATCTCCACGGGCACTTTTATAGACTGTGCCCTACGAGTCCGTACTCAGTTGTGGCCTTGCATTGCCCTTCCCACAAACAGCTGCTAAGACTGTTCTCGTCTGTTCTGTCCTAGGTGTCTTTACCCAGTAAGAGGTTGAGCACAGAATGAAGTGACTATCCGTTGTGCCCGGTACTGCCCTAAGTGCATTAACATGTTAAAATCACACAGGATCACCAGAAAGATTATCATCTTTACAGACACAGAAACTAACCCCAAAGCAGACGAGCCTGCCCAGGGTCACTCAGCTGTTAGGTGATAGAGACACCCACAAACCCACACAGTCTGACCAAGATTGCTGATCGTTTTCATCTTCAGTGTTGGGGATTGAACTGGGTCTTCATGTGCTTTTACCCCAGAGCTCCACCCCCTCCCTCTCCATGCTCTTAACAGTGTAGCTTCATTAAGACAAGAAGCTAAGCAGTGTTGCGCTATGCATTTTACAGTGTGGGATAGAGACTAGACTTCCCCACCTTATAGACAAGGCTGAGACACACGGGTGTGACGTAGGGTTGCTGAAGGCACGTAACTGATAAGTCCAAGGTGTTGAAGTCGGTCTGTGAGCTCAGGTTGGAGCTCCTGTTCTGTTTGCTACCCTGTAGGACGTGTAGACCAGCAGCCGCTGGCCATCCTTGGCTCAGGTCCCACCCACAGTCTGACTCCCCTAGCACAAAGTCTTGGCTTTTGTGCACCGGGAAGTGCTGTGCTTATTGATTGTGTTGAGAGCCCACGTGGGAACGGGTGACTCCTGACTAAGCCTGCCTGGGGTTTGTATTCTTTCCATCCTGGAGTCATTGCCTGGAGTTGAGGTCAATAAGAGTGATTGAGTTGGTGTTCTTTAGTGCGCTGCGTGTTTTGAGGAAGGTGATTCTTGCCTGTTACACAGGCAGTTCTCTGTGGAGGCATGAATGTGAAATATAGGTAGAAAGCCAAGCACTGTGTGCACAGTGCTCCTTCTAAAGATGGTGCTTTATGAACCTTTCATTTCCATTTGTTCTCAAGGGTTTTCCTTCTGAAAAGGCAGAAGGTTTTGTTGCAACAGGAGAGAAATTCCATTAAGAGGAGGAAAATCATGAGCTTATTTTGTTTTTCTTTTCTTTTCCCTAGAGTCTGAATGGTGTTTGGCTGAACAGAGAGCGTCTGGCACCATTACAGGTTTATTGCATCCAGAAGGGAGACCATATCCAGCTTGGAGTGCCACTGGAAAATAAGGAGAATGCGGAGTATGAATACGAAGTTATTGAGGAAGACTGGGAGAGGCTGTCTCCCTGCCTGGCCCCAAAGAATGAGCAGACGGGGGAAAAAAATAAAGACTTGAGAACTAAAAGGAAGTTGAGTTTGGATGGATTAGAGAGTCCTGCAGCTGACGGTCCCTCGGATCTCAAGTGCAGAGTCACCGCACTGTCCTGTAAAGCTCTTGAGCCGGTGAAGTTACATGGGAAAGGTGAAGCAGCCAGTCAGCCCTTGGGATGCTCGTGTCCTAAGTTGACTTCTCTGGAGGCTCACGCTTGCTCTGCTCTCCCAAAGGTCATCGAACTTTACCCTAAGAAGCAGAAGGCCTCCAACCCTTCAGCATCTCAGAGCAGTTTAGAGCTGTTTAAGGTGACCATGTCCCGGATTCTGAAGCTGAAAACCCAGATGCAGGAAAAGCAGATAGCTGTTCTGAATGTGAAGAGGCAGACCCGGAAGGGGAGCTCGAAGAAAGTCGTGAGGATGGAGAAGGAGCTGCAAGCTCTACAGTCTCAGCTGTATGCAGAGCAGGCTCAGCAGCAGGCGCGGGTGGAGCAGCTGGAGAAGACTTTCCAGGAGGAGCAGCATCACCTCCAGGTACCACAGCTGGCGGGCAGAGGTGCCCTCAGCTGGGCAGGCACTTGGTGAACTTCTGGCCAGAGTTGTCTCTGAAGCAGGCCAGATGCTAAGCGTAGGAGACAGGATGGGAGCAGAAACCAAGGTGCAGGTTTGGGAAGATGAAGGTTTCAGCACACTGATGGGGTCAGGAGCCTCTCAGACAGCCTCTTCCAGTCTTCCTCAATAACTTTGTTATTGAGGGCATCAAGATGAGTAAGGTGACGCAGAAGCCGGCTGGGATGTGACTGATCTCTGATTGAAATCTGAGGTGTTTGAGATCTAAGAATAATTCAGGGAGAAGCCGGGTAAGGGTTAGGGTACCACAGACCGTAATGTCCTTGGGACTCATTTCTTTGCTCTGTGTGCCCAGAACCAAGTCACAGCCCAGAGCTAACTGTGCTTGTACATGACAGCTTGTTGGCTGTGAGATTAACTCGAGCTAACGGGGTTGGGGGGCGGGGGGGGGGGGGCGGGGGGGAGCAGAGATGATGGTTTTGTTCCTGTCTTGATCAATCAGAATGCCATGGAAGGGCACACAGCTGGCTGGTGGTAAGCTACATCCTTTACTAGAAGGTAAAAGAAGTATCTGAGTGGTCTGGAGGTAGGCCCAAGCCTACCTGGTCTCCAGATCGTCGTCTTAGATGACAGGCTCTTGCCAAAGCTTCAGGCTGGAGCTGGCCTGTCCCTGCTTAAAATGTCAGTTCCCAGATGACAGGAACCTTGTCAATCCCACCCTAGTCGTTCAGGTAATGGTGAATGTCAAGAATTCCCTGTTGTTGACTTAGAACCCGGAAGAACCAGTCACAGCTGAGGTGAAAGGTGTTTTTATCTTGCTTGGGTCTCTCTGGGCAAGGAACAGCCTGTAGTGGTGTTGGCTTATTTCGGAAGAGTTTATAAATTTCATTCTAATCTCTGCTATCTCCTCGAATCTCTGCTATCTCCTCGAGCTGGTAGGAATAGGAATAGCAAAAGCCATGGCTTACCTAGGTGCCTTCAGGGCATGCACGGTGGGTGTGCATAGCTTCTGCTTCCCGTGTCCACCCAGACAACTGAAGTTAACAGAGGGTGGGAATCTGCTGCTGTTCAGGGTATCACACCTTCACTGAGAGAGTTCTCTAAAGGATCGTGTGTTCCGAAACGATCGAGCACGCCTGGGGTTAACATGCGAGGCTACTCCGTGTGCTAAAGCGACAGCTGCGAAGTCCTTTCTCGGGGGCAGAAGGGTAAAGACAAGAGACTGGTTCAGCGATTTCTTCACGTCATGTGTGCGTGACTTCGAGAAGCATATCCAGTTCTTTGTGTTAGCTGTGTCTCCCTCTGCCCTCGGTCTAGCCTGGCCTGCCACCACTTCAGAAGCTGTTGCCCCCGGCCTCATGCTTGGTGTTTGGAGCACTATATTGCCTGACACTGTACTTAGAATTCTGCTTGGATTAAAATGCTTAGTGTTGTTTTTAATCATTAAGTAATTTATCTTGTTGAGACAAGATGTGCTGCCCATTAGCACACTGGAAGAATGATTTTCAGGGTTGCCCATTCAATTATGAACGATTCAAAAATCCCCTACCTGTAGGTAATTCTTAAGGCAGCAAGAACACAGGCTGTGTGGACAAAGCTGGCCACAGATGAGTGACGGTTTCAATGGCTGCTGGAGGGGAAAGGCAGCAGAGGCCCAGGCGAGGGCAGAGTGGCTTGTAGAGGGTGGTCAGTGGGGGGCCAGGCACCGGGGTGGGGCCAGGCGGGGGTTGTGTCTGTGCCTCACTTCCCAGTCTTAGCCATTTGAGTGCGTGGTGTCAGGTGATCGAAGAAGCCGAGACTGTCCACCCTGTTTGCAGAGCTGTTCAGCGGCTGGCTTGAGGCTGACAGCCCCACGGTGTGCAGTGGTCGAGCAGCCAGCAGTTCAGATCTTTGCCGACAACAGCCTGAAGTGAAATGGGTTCTGCCTGCTCCCTGCCCCGTGCTGTTCCTGTCACACCTGCGTGTTCGGGACCTTGTCCCCTCCCCCTGGACTGCAGGGAAACAAACCTTCCTTTTGTTTTGGCTTTTCAGGGTTTGGAGAAAGAGCAGGACGAGGATCTGAAGCAACAGCTGGTCCAGGCTCTGCAGGAGGTAATCCAGTCTCCCCCACTTCAGAGGCCGTGGTAGTTGGGAGTGGGGAACAGCCAGGCATCACGTGCCACTAGCTGCCTCCGCCTCGGAGTCCACTGCTCTGTGATCTCCAGTCTGCAAGCAGAGCAGGTGGCAGATGCTCACACCATCAGGTTGGAGATTTGCAGCCTCACAGATACATACTAGATCTCACATGGAAACTTAGGTCTTCATCAAGTAGAAGCCGCCCTGGTGATGACGAAACAGCCTGTAGGAAGTTTGGAAGCTCTCTAGAATAGGGGCTCTACTTCCAGAATAGTAAAGGTAGCAGAGGGGAGATGTTAGCTAAGGCTTGGGCCTGAGGGCCTTTGTACCTCACCATCCCTGGACTGTGGCATCCATAAACCATTCAAGAATGTTCCAGTCAAGCATTCTAGGCCAGTTTGAGGATGTACAGTCTAAAGCAAAAGCAGCCACCTACAAGAGTGACACTCAGGGCATCCAGTCACCTAAAAGACAGCTTGTGGTTTGTGTCATTGAACCCTGTGGCTGCTTTTACGTGGCTGCCTTTTGTGTGCTCTTGTACATCTTTAAAACATCTTCCAGCTGGACGTAGCAGCGCACACCTTTAATCCCAACACCTGGAGGCAGAGGCAGTCCGATCTCTGAGTCCCAGGACAGTCTGGTCTACAGAGTGAGACCCTGTCTCAAAAGCAAACAACAACAAAATACCCTTGCTTGTCTTTGGGCTTTGATTATGACCAGTAGTTTGGTGCAGGTTAGTCATGGTCATGAGATGGTTAGCCCTCCTTGAGCACGGTGAGCAGCAGCTTTGCGTGTAAACCTGCTCAGGGTCATCTTTCTCTTCCTTTACTGCAGACCTGTGCCTCAGCCTTGTCGCTGCTATGTGAGAAGTTATGTGAGAGAGAAGGAGCCTGCCTGATTTCCTTGTGGGGATGTGCACAAATAGCTTTGGAAATAATTAGGTGAAAATTATATCTTTGGAATTTTATTTTTTGAGCTTATCTGCTTTATAGGGTGAAAGGTTAGGCATTGTTCCCATTTGAGTATTTAAATTTTGTTTGTTTTTATTTTTTACTTAGTGTGTAAATGTACACAAGCACTCACGTGTGGGGCTGGAGACCTGAGTTTGGTTGCCAGCACGCATATTAGACAGCTTACAACCTCTTGTAACTCTAGCTCCAAGAGACTGGACACCCTCTTTTGGCCTCCCAGGGTTCCCGTACACAGGTAGCTTAAACTCATACAAACACACTAACATAAAAACAAAAACACCTTTAGAGATAAATCAGCACATTAAAAAAAGTCACGTCTTGTTGCTAGAGTTTTCCTGCCTGGCCCACAGTCAGGACAAATCTCTCTCACCCGCCAGTCCCAAGCCGCTCAAACCCGATCAAGTAAACACAGAGACTTATATTGGTTTCAAACTGTATGGCCGTGGCAGGCTTCTTGCTAACTGTTCTTACAGCTTAAATTAATCCATTTTTATTAATCTATACCTTGCCACGTGGCTTGTGGCTTACCGGTACTTTACATCTTGCTTGTCCTGATGGCGGCTGGCAGTGTCTTCCCCACCCAGCTTCCTGTTCTCTCAATTCTCCTCTCTGTTAGTCCCGCCTATACTTCCTGCCTGGCCACTGCCAATCAGTGATTTATTCATTGACCAATCAGCAACACATTTGACATACAGACCATCCCACAGCAACATCTGGGTGCTCACGTGCCACAGTGTGTGAGGACAGCTTTCAGGAGTGGGTCTCTCCTCGTGTGGATTCCGGAATCCAGCTTGGTCATCCAGGTTTGCACTACAGATGCCTTTCCCGCCGAGCCATCTCACTGCCTCCTTTGGAGGGCTTAAACTTTTGTTCGATGTTTGGAGCCGCCTAGAAGGGTCAGCGTTTGCCATGCAGAAGGTATATCACCGGCTCCCTGGTGGTTCCGGCAGCTCACCTGCTCTAACACAGGAGAACACGTGTGTCATGAGGTGCTTCGTCATGCAGTCATCAGTCAACGTGGTTTCAGGTCATACTTGGCCATCATGCGTGAGGGACGTGCCACTCCCAGCTGACACGGTTGATCTGGTGTTCCCCTTCCAGACTGGTAGAAGAACTTGCATTTACACAAGGCTTTCATAACCTTTTCTTTTTTTTTTTTTTTTTTTTGGTTTTTCGAGACAGGGTTTCTCTGTGTAGCTTTGCGCCTTTTCCTGGAACTCACTTGGTAGCCCAGGCTGGCCTCGAACTCACAGAGATCCACCTGGCTCTGCCTCCCGAGTGCTGGGATTAAAGGCGTGCGCCACCACCGCCAGGCTTCATAACCTTTTCTGAACGCTTATCATGTTATTTTCTTATTAACCCTGGTGGGAGGGTGACTTGTTTTCCCACTTTATAGATGAGATAGTTAGGGAACTTGAACATAATTAGTGGTTAAGATGAAGACCCAGACCTGCAGGTAACCACACACTGATGCATTTGTTTCTTTCTTCAACTTTTTAAAAAAGATTTGTTTAATTTTTTATGTGTGTTTGTGTATGAAGGTATGGTGTATGAGTTCAGGTGCCCTTGGAGACCAGGGGCATCAAATCCCCTGAAGCTAGAGTTACAGGAGATTGTGACCTGTCCGACGTGGGTGCTGGGAACCGGACTCAGGCCCACATACTTAACAGCATGCTGCCCTTAAATAAATGCTAAGCTGTCTCTTCAGCCCCTAGGTTCGTTTCTTGAAATTATCTACAGAGAAACACCTTTATTCTACCTTCTTTTAAAGAGCATTCAAGGTGAGAGTCTTAAGTATGAGCTGTACTTATGCACAGAGGGACTCAGTTTTCTTCCTTTTTTTCTGCTCTCTCCTCTTTCTTCCTTCTCTCCCTCCCTCCCTCCCTCCCTCCCTCCCTCAGATCCTTCTGTGTTCTTTCCTTTGCTTGTCCGATATCAAGCCTAGGCCCTCACACACACTAAGTATGTGGTCTATGACTGGGTCACATCCTAGTCCATAAATTACGTTGCGTGGCTGGAGAACCTGTGGACATTTGGTGTAAGGAGTTAGTCACAGTGTATCAGCTGTTGGCACTTGGGCATGTCAGCTTGTAGAAGACCCTAGCCAGGTTAGTTAGCCAGGTTAGTTTGAAAGGACTAACAGATTTGCTGTCCACCTCCCTGTCCTGATCCGTCCATCCTGAATGAAAGAAGGCTGCTTTTGAAATTGTCACCACTGGTCCCTAGGCCAAAGTCACTGAGCGGAGGGAAGCAGCAAAGGTGTGTGGCTAGCGAGGGTGGTTACGCGGCTCGTCCTGATGGCTTACCTGCTTACCTGCTCTTTCTGCAGCATCGGGCTCTAATGGAAGAGCTGAATCGCAGCAAGAAGGACTTTGAGAAAATCCTTCAAGCCAAGGACAAAGAGTTGGAGCAGACCAAGGTACTGGACAGAGGGAGGCTCAGAACCTAGTTAGCACGTGACGCCCGGCATTCCCAGGAATGCCCGGTTGCTGTGGTGAATAAAGACAGATGCCCTGTAAAGTTCTCCCTAGAGAGAGGCTGCTGCCTGGGTGCCAGCACCTGCTTCCTTGTTCAGAAGCTCTGTGCTGGGAGGAGGTTACCCGCGTCCTGGCCTCTGTCTGGGGGTTCTCTCAGGATGTGTCTCCCCCATTAAATCCATAGAACTCTTTGTTGTTGTTTGTTTTGTTTCTTTTTCAAGATGGTTTCTTCCTGTAGCTCTGGTTGTCCCAAAACTCACTCTGTAGACCAGGCTGGCCTTGAACTCACAAAGGTCCGCCTGCCTCTGCCTCCCAATTGCTGGGATTAAAGGCGTGCACCACCAGTGCCCAGTAGACTTCTTATATTTTTTTTTTTTTTGGTTTTTCGAGACAGGGTTTCTCTGTGTAGCTTTGCGCCTTTCCTGGAACTCACTTGGTAGCCCAGGCTGGCCTCGAACTCACAGAGATCCGCCTGGCTCTGCCTCCCGAGTGCTGGGATTAAAGGCGTGCGCCACCACCGCCCGGCAGACTTCTTATATTATAAGTTACAAACAAATGCCTGCCAGGGCCGAGCCAGTAATAAGAGCGAGGAGGAGGCCTGGGCGTGAGGGTGCTGGAGGGGCTGTGAGGACCGAGGAGGAGGCCTGGGCGCGAGGGTGCTGGAGGGGCTGTGAGGACTGAGGAGGAGGCCTGGGCGCGAGGGTGCTGGAGGGGCTGTGAGGACCGAGTGCTTCCTAACTCCTCCCCAGAAGGCCGCGCTTTTCTGCCCGGGCACTTGCCACCCAGAAATGCGAGCCCAGTCTGTCTTCATAGTGGGCAGAAATCCAGATGTTTGAATTACCCCAGTTTCCAAATATTGTCAACAAGTTGTTTTTAAGTTTGTGTAATCAAAAAGTACATATTTATGAGAAATCATACGGTTTTTCAATAGAGGTGAAAGTTCAGATTTTGTATGTGTTTTTGAATATCATAAAGGCCAAGCTAAACAGAGCTGTGGGCGGCCAGTCCGCAGGCAGTTTCTAATCTGAAGTGAGTGTCTGGGTCAGGCTGCATCCTCCCCCACTCCAGAACTAGAGCTGTGGACAAAAAGGAGGAGACTGTGCCCCCAGCAGATTTGATGTCCCTGTCCTGGGTACTAGGGATGGACCCGGTGCTCGGCTTCCTGGGCAGGCTCTGTCCTGAGCGGCAGCCTCTAAGTACATTGTGTGTGCTGAGACAGGACTTCACTGTGTACCCCAGGCTGGCCAGTTACGTACCCCAGGCAGGCCAGCCATCTCCTTCTACCTGGCCGATGCTAGCTGGCGCTGCTGTCAGGCACCGCCCACATGGGGCTCCCACAGCTTTTATTTTATTTTTTTGAGCTGGGTCTCAGTGCAGGCTGGCCTCACACTTACTGTGTAGCCAAAAATGACCTTGAACTCATTTTCTCTCTTAAAATATTTTTTATTATTTTGTACATACAAGTAATTTTCCCCGGGCTGGAGAGATGGCTCAGGGGGTCAAGAGCACTGGCTGCTCTTCCAGAGGACCTGGGTTCAATTTCCAGCAACCACGTGGTGGCTCGCAACCATTTGTAATGAGATCTGGTGCTCTCTTCTGGCCTGCAGGTACACATGCAGGCAGAATACTATACACATAATAAGTAAATATTAAAAAAAAGTAATTTGCCTGTATGTCTTTGCACCACATATGTGTGTAGTGCCTGAAGAGGCCAGAAAGAGGATGTTGGATCCCCTGGAACTGGAGTTACAGACAGTTGTAAACTAAGAATTGAACCTGGGTCATCTGGAAGAGCAGCCCAAGCTGTTAACCACGGAGCCGTCTCTCCAGCCCCTCCACATGAACTCTTGATCCTCCCTTTCCAACTCCCGTTGCTATCTCTTTGCTTTACCACATATTTTAAAACCCAGAAACTTAAAAATCCTCAGAGTAGGCTGGCAAGGTGGCTCAGTGGTTAAGAACACTTGATGCTTTTCAGAGGACCCAGGTTCAATCCCTAGCACTCCACATGGTGACTCACAACCATCTGTAACTCCAGTTTCAGGGGGAGTCACCAACCTGTTACCAGGACATACCTGGTGCATAGCCATACATGTAGACAAAACACCTGTACACATAAAACAAATCTAAAAGAAAAAAATTGTCAGAGAAACGAGCCTGGATCCTCCTTCCCCTATGTGATTTGATAGTCTGTTTTGATTAGAAAAGAAAAAGAGGAAAAATGAACCGACTGCTTAGATATATTGTGAGTGGATTTTCCTCCCTTCCTTAGGCTCCTGTTCCTTTCTGTTTGGGGGATGATAGAACTAACTCACAACTTCCAAAGAGCATACCGAAGGTCCTTCCTAAGGACAGCACCACAGGTGCTCAGACCTTGGGGAAAGCATGGGAACAGAAGCGGGAGGCGGCAAGCTCCATACAGCTTAGCGCCTAAAAGTCCTGGGGGAGTCCATCTTTCCAGCCATGCCTCAGGAAGAAAGGTATTATCCTTCGGTCATCAAAGAGATGGCTGCCGACAACGCCTTATTCAAGCCCCCTGCCTCTCGAGTGCTCTTTATATCCTGTCCTGTGAAGTTTTAGTCTAGGGGAAACTTCTTACTGCTCAGGCTGCAACTTGCTAGAGAATATTTTAGTGCCTCCCTCCCCTCCGCTTTGGCTATTTTTCAAAGTTCTGCAGGCTAGGAAGTCCCAAGAAGGTGCTGGCAAGGACACGATTTTGGTTCACAGATGAGGCCTTGTCTCCGTGTCTTCACATGGGAGAAGAGCAGGGCCAGCTCCTCCAGGCTTTGTCCTAGGCCACTCATCCTGTCCCGCCCGTCCTCCTAGCCACCTGAGGGCCTCACCCTTCATGCTGTCACACTGCAGATCAGCGTTCAGTGGGGACTGACCAGAGCAGACGGGAGAGGGAAGACGGGAACTAGCGTTCTAAAGGGTGACCCCAGGGAGCTGCACCGGATCCCGCTCCCCTCAGCTAACGTGCTCTCGTCCTGTCCTGCGTTCTGGTTTGTTTCCCCAGGTGACAGGTGGCCTTGTGTCTTTGCAGGAAGAAAAGGAGAAGGTCCAAGCACAGAAGGAGGAGGTCCTCAGCCACATGAATGACGTGCTGGAGAACGAGCTTCAGTGCATCATCTGCTCCGAGTACTTCATCGAGGTAAGTGCTCGCAGTGCTCACCCCACCCCGCGTGGTGTCCCACCCCGCGTGGTGCGCCAGCCCACGGGCTGCTGCTGCTGCTGCTGCTGGAATCACTGAAGAGAATTTGTTCAGAAACCTAGTGCTGTGTGTGCTCAAGATGATGTCTGAAGGCAGCCACTTCTCATTACATCGTGCAGGCTTCACCCTGCTTTTTGGTTTTGGTTTTGGTTTTTGGTTTTTTGAGACAGGGTTTTCTCTGTGTAGTTTTGGTGCCTGTCCCAGATCTCACTCTAGACCAGGCTGGCTTCAAACTCCCAGAGATCCGCCTGCCTCTGCCTCCCGAGTGCTGGGATTAAAGGCATGCACCAGCCCCTCCCCGCATCTCAGAGCATCTCTGTAAGATGGGATTGGGGAACTTCCCTGTGGGCCTTGGAGAAAGTAAGAGTGGCGAGTGTTACCTGTGTGTCCTTTCACATTGCAGGCCGTCACCCTGAACTGTGCCCACAGTTTCTGCTCCTTCTGTATCAGCGAGTGGATGAAACGGAAAGTCGAGTGTCCCATTTGTCGGAAGGATATTGAGTCCAAAACCCACTCCCTGGTTCTGGACAATTGCATTAATAAGATGGTGGATAATCTGAGCTCAGAGGTGAAAGAGAGACGGAATAGCCTTCTTAGGGAACGGAAAGGTGAGTGGCTTCTGAGCACTCCTCATCATCAAAGGACTGCATTACTTCTGAACCACGTCAAGTACTCTTAGGGGGTGGAGGTGGGGAATAGAGTTTAGTAGATGATTTTTTTAATTAAGGACAGGCAGGAGAAAAGGGAGTTCAGACAGCCACATAGGAAAGGACTGAACTAGAATTAACCTGTAATCTGAGCATCCAAGGGATGGGAAGCTTAACTGTGTATATCCTGGTCCGTCCTTGGAGGGCAGTAAAGGAAAGCTGTGATTAGAAAACAGGCAGGTGGTTTGGCATACGGACCACCAGATGGCGCTGTTGCTGAAGACGGCTTGGTTCTGCCGCTTGAGTTGACAGATTAGAAATAAGATGTGTTTAAGTCGGATTCACGACGTGGAGAGTACCTGGGGAAACACACAAGCTCTGTTTGTAAGAGCCGTGGCTTATGGCTGGGGCTAGCTCAGCAGTACTTCCCTAGTATGCACAAGGCCCTGGGTTCAGTCCCCAGTGCTATTCCACATGCGTGCACCAGTTCTGTCTTTGGGTCCTGCTGGGTCTCCCAGCCTGAGGACTTTGGATGAAGAGATTGGGGAAAGAATGTTCATTAAGTCAGTGGTTCTCAAGCGTCCTAATGCTGTGACTCTAATATAGTTCCTCATGCTGTGGTGACCCCCAAGGATGAAATGATTTTCGATGCTACTTCACAACTGCAATTTTGCTGCTGTTATGAATCATAATGTAAATATCTGTATTTTCCGATAGTCTTTTGGGGTTGTGACCTACAGGTTGAGAACCACTGATTTAAGTGATCATGCCCACTTGGGACTTGCCGTGTTAAGGCCTGCAGAGAGCCACTTCTCTTGGTGGTGTTACTGCAGATTTTTAGAGCAAAACAAGGAAACTCCTGGGTAGGATGTATTGGTTATTGAGTAGAGATCCGTTGTGCAAAAGGCAGAGTGGGGATGGCTGTATCACTCCATCACTACCTTCTGGGAGTTAGAAATTAACCAGAAACTGCTGTCCATAACGGCCAGCTGGCCACAGTGTGTGTGCCTTGGTTGTACTCCTAAGTCCGGAGATGCTGGACAGCCTAAGGGCCAAGTGCTGTTAACAAGAATTGGGTGTTCTGTTTGTCGCTTTCTTCTCCCCAGCCCTGCTACAGGTACCAGCTATTTCAAGTAGGGACAGGAATCTTGTGATTCATACACAGCTGTGATGTGAAACTGGGCAGGCAGCAAGCCCCTCCTAGAACTGGTGGTGTGGAAGCTGAGCGGGAAGCGTGTCTTAGCCAGTGGCTGTCCAGGAATGTGGTCCGAAGCTTGAAAGGAAGGGTTCTTTGTTGCTTCCCTGGTAGCTGCTGGAGGATTGTGTGCCCACTGTAGGGCCCCACAGATGCCACCTCTGCCCGTGGCTCTCCCCATTCTCTCCATTTCCGCCTTGTCATTCCATAAGAACACACACTGGCCCTGGGTGGAGAGCAATGCCCATCCTCCCCCGGGTGCTCCCAGCTCTTCTCATCTGCTGGGGGACAGAAAAGCAAGGACTCCGCACCAGGGTGCTGGGTGGCATCACAGGAAGGACTGCTTACGCTGGCCTGGGCAGGTGGCAGTGAGAGGATCCTCTAAAGGAAGTGACGTTTGGGCCAAGTTTCATGGCTTCCTGGATGCTTGTTTTCCAGCCAGAGGACATGGCACTCACTTTGCGGAACAGCCAGGACTGGGAGGGTCTGCTGGTGCCGAGAAGCTTGTTTTGTCATCTTGCTTCCCTTCTGAGAGGACAGTGGCCCGGGAGCCAGATCCGATCAGGGTCAGGTTACGACCTTTGAGCTGGCATGTGTTGTCTGCGTCAGTGTGGGGCACCTATGAGAGTTTGGTTGGCCCAGTGCATGCCTATGTTCTCACGAGTCCACTCACGGCTGATGATTTTAGAAGAGCCCACGTCCCACGTCCATCTCTGTCTCCTCTAATGTAGAGGTGCTTATGTAGAGTAAAAACCCCAGTCCTCTCCCGTTCTCTGCAGAGGATACTAGGCTGCCCGGGCCTCTCTGGCCACATAGTGACTGCACGGGGAAGAGCCGGTTCCACTGTCCGCAGTTCTCACAGCAACCCTGGACTTGTCTCTAGACACACTGAAGGTTCTGAGACTGACTTAGAGAAAGATGTTCCAGGGCCATCAGCAGCTCTGCTGGGCTGCAGTGTGGGGGCTAGAGAAAAGTCTAACTTAAAATGCCAGCTCTCTTTGAACGTTCTGGTGCCATTTGCAAGCTGGTTTAATCCTTAGTGCATGGGAATTTTTTTCTTTCTTTCTTTCTTCTTTTTTTTTTGATTTTCAAGACAGGGTTTCTCTGTGTAGCTCTGGCTGTTCTGGAACTTGATCTGTAGACCAGACTGGCCTCAAACTCAGAGATCCACTGCCTTTGCCTCCCGAGTGCTGGGATTAAAGGTGTACACTACCACCTTCCAGCTTGCATGGGAATTTTTAAAAAAGAACTTGGGATCTGGGGCTGGAGAGATGGTTCAGTGGTCGAGTACACTTGCTGCTCTTCCAGAGGACATGAGTTCAAGTCCCAGCACCCACATAGTGACTCACGGTAACTCCAGTTCCAGGGAATCCGACACCTTGGGCACCAGGTATGCACATGGTGCACATAGATACATGTAGATAAAACACCCATACACATAAATAAAACAATCAATCAGTCAATAAAATCAAGTCAAAAGAGCTTAGGCTCCGGAAAGTGGCAGATCTCCCGTGTTCTCACCTCACCGAGAGCAATGCCTTCCTCAGCCTCCCTCACTGGTAGGTATCCCAAGTTCTGGGTCTCAGGGGGAAAGGCACCTCCTGACTGAGAAGCCTGAGGAGAGGAGCAGGTATGAGGAAGCTGGATCCAGAATTAAAGAAGCGTGCCTTGAAGCTGGGGTGGATACCGTGGTTCATTCAGGTCAGGTATTTGTACCAGGGGTCACTGTGGCTGTGTGTGGTGTTGACACAGGCTGGAGCTGGCGGAGGGAGGGAGGGAACTTTTTTTTTTTTAAGATTTGTTTATTATATATACAGTGTTCTGCCTGCAGGCCAGAAGAGGGCACCAGATCTCATTAGAGGTGGTTGTGAGCCACCATGTGGTTGCTGGGAATTGAACTCATGACCTTTGGAAGAGCAGGTGGTGCTCTTAACCTCTGAACCATCTCTCCAGCCACGGGAACTTTGTTTTCTTTTTTTGAGACAGGGTTTCTCTGTGTAGCCCTGATTGGCCTGGAACTCACAGAGATCCAGCTGCCTCTGCCTCTGGGACTAAAGGCGAGGGCCACTAACCCCGGCGGGAACATTCTTCTGCCAGATACCTCCTCTCCGCCTTTTCTTCTGCTCCTAATTAAGTGAATTAGCTGACAAGGTTGCTCACGCTCTGGTTTCCCCGTAGTTTTTTTCCTGGTTCTGTGGTGGTTTAGGGGTGGGTTTGAGACAGTCTTACTCTGTAGGACAGGCTGGAACTCACAGCTGTCCTTTGGGACCTTCCCAAGTGTTGGGATTTTAGGCTTTGCCCCTGTGCCCTGCTTCCCCAGAGTTTCCGAAGTGAAAGAAGCAGGGCTAGAGATGTAGCTGGCTGGTGAGCATCCTCACCCAGCTCCGGAGGCCGGCAGTGTACAAACCCCAAGCAGCTGGAGGTAAACTTTACTTTCTGCTCTGGTCTCTTGGATTGCATCCTCCCAACCCCTTCCTACCATAGCACTGAAGCTCCTGATGAGCATGTGTGGTGCAGAGGGCATTGTGAACCTGTATGACAGGGACTGTGACTTCTGCCCCTTCAGTTAGCTAAGAGGAAGTGGTCCAGAGAAGCTGGCAGGGTCCTGACTCTGAAGAGGTCTGTCTGCTCCCCTGGAAGCCTGTCTGACGTTGCCCATCTCCTTTCTCGGAAGACAGCCTTAAAAGGAGTACTTGGTGGGGTGGTAGCAGCCAGGTGATACCTCGCAAGTCACCATTAGACAGCAGCTACTTGTGTGACTCGGCACTGCCCTCAGAGGCTGTCGTCACATGAAGTCAGCATGGAGTTTCTGTCTGTCGGTTTGCCTACGGAAGATGGCTCGGCAAGGCTGCACTCAGAATGTGCAGCGCTACACTTGATTGATTGATTGACTGATTGATTGATTGATTGAGGCAGGGTCTCTGTGTAGACCAAGCGAAGCTCAAGCTCAGAGATTCACCTGCCTCTGCCTCCCCAGTTCCACCATGCCTAGCTATAAGTTTTTGATTTTTAAAAATCCGTTTTGTAAAATCATCATAGGATAACAAGGAACAGTCATTACTAGAGGCCTTTCTTCGTTCCTGCCCCTTTTCTCGGTCTTCTGTTCCTTCCCTCCTCATTGAAAGTTTCCTCTGTTTCCCTTTTCATCCTTGATTGATAAGTCAGAATACAGTTTGGGATAACAGGAAAGGTGGGGTGGCTGTTGGTAAAGTGCTTACAAGCGTGAAGATCTGAGTGTGATTCCTGAACCACTTAGAAAGCTGGGCCTGGAGGCTCCTAAAATCCCAGGGGTGGGGAGTGGGGACAGGCATGTTCTTGGGGCTCGCTGGGAGCTTCCTCAGTGGCCTCAGGTCACAATGAGAGACTGTCTCAAAGAACTAGATGGACAGCCGAGGAAGGACCCTAAGGTTGGCCGGCCTCCCCACTCACATGCACAGACAGTGGTGCTCGCCTGCACGCATCCGTTCAGAGAGATGGCAGTGGCATCACGGGAACTGTTGGAGAAAGGACTGTCCATTGTGGTGGCCAGCTCTGGGGTTGACTGGATGAAGTAGTGACCCCGAGTCCTGGCACCTCCGACCTCTTGAGTCTGTGGTCCCTGTGATTGCAGACGCTGTTCGGACTTAGCTCTGTAGGAGACTCTTTGCCTTGTCACCAGAAGCGGCTACCCAGGATAGAGAATGGCTTTCCCAAGTGCCATGAGTCCTCTTCCATCCACCCAGCCGCATAGACAGCTGTGTTGGAGAGATCCACGCAGTGCTCAGTAGCAGTCCTGGGCTGACCTTGAATACCTGTCCACCTCACATTTAAACAGACCTCGCGTGGTCTCGTGCTGCAGTCAGTGGCTCCTGAGTCTGCCATGTCTCGAAGGTGAAGACTGCTTGCTGTTCCAAGTGGATCCTCTTGCTGCTGGAGGCTGCTTGGGCAGTGCCGTCAGCCCAGAGCCCAGCTTCCACCAGAACCAGGCTTCAGGCCGTGGCATGAGCTGGCTCACTTTCTCCCTTTACTCTGGTGGTTGTGGAGAAACAGCAAAGGAGGGAAAAGTGATAGAAGGGGGTGTGGGGGATGAAACACGGGCTCCTTCATGTGTCTGTCTTTCTCTCCAAAGCAAAGAGACTGTCATGAAGGTCACACTCCAAGGACATGTGAGAGACACTAGGGGGAAGGCATCTTGGAGTGATCCAGAGGATTCCTGCATTCCCTCAGGCTGCTCTGGACATCACCTGGGAAGTCACGTGCTGCAGAGACTGAGTTAGGAAGCCTGTATCACTGGCTTCCGCTCTGCTGACCCTACCGACACCATCGTCTAAAGGACCACGGGACTCCCCCACCGACCGCTTCACTACATGATGAATGAGTTGAGTTGTTTGTTTCCGGATGTGTTGGTTGATTTGGGTACCTCCTGCACCCTGTTGACATCATCTTGGACAGCTGGGTGCACCCTATGGCTGCCCTGAAGGCAGCGTGCATTTGGAGTCTGGTTTACCTTTCTTTGTGAAAACAAGATGTCATTTCTTAGAAATAAAATGTAAAACCCGCCAGTTGCTCGTAGGCTTGGGTGTGTTTGCCTGCCTTTGCCTCTGGCTCCCAGATGGTCCCCCAGGTAAACACTGGCAGCTCATAGACTGCAGCCGGGAGAGAGACTGCCCGTGATAGACTGCCAGCAATGTCAGCCCGGGAGCTCAAGTTCACGGCCGCGCCTGGGGGGCTCTCGGGATTCTGTTTTCATTCTGGGGTGTCACTGCTGTCCTTGTTGGGGGCGTTCTTTTCATTCAGATGCCATTCAGGGCTACTTCCAGCTCTCTTTCCTGAACAAGCGGTGATTTAATGAGAAATTGACACATCCCTCCTCTTCATTTAAAAGCTGTGAGTTGGTTGGTTGGTTGGTTTTGCCTGCCATCTTTTTCCACACATTTTTTTTTTAAACCCCTTGATACACTTTCATGTAGCCCAGGCTAGCCCCAAACAGTGTGTGACTGAGGGAGACCTTGCCCTTTGCCGCCTCCTACCTCTGCCTCCTGAGTGCTGGGGTCACAGGTGTGCCACCAGTGTTAGCTGAGAGGGGAGCCCTGGGCCCCGGGGCCTGTAGTGGGAATGCGAAACTGTTACATCATGTAGTGACTTGACGCCCTTCTGCCCAGAGAAGCATTCTTTTAAAACTCTCCGGGTAGGAGGTCAGAGTGCACGTGTGTTGAGGTTCCAGAGGTCAGCCTAAGTTGCCCTTGTTTTTGTTTTTTTAATTTGTTTGGAGACCAGGTCTCTCTACGCAACCCTGCTGTACATAACTCACTCTGTAGACCAGGCTGGCCTTGAACTCAGAGATCCACCCGCCACTGCCTCCCAAATGCTGGGATTAAAGGTGTGAACCATAGTGTGTGGCCTCCACGTTGTTTTTCGAGACAGAGTCTTACTAGCCTGGAGCTTGCCAAGTAGGCCTGGCTAGCCAGTGAGTCCCAGAGAGCTCCCTGTCTCTGCCTCCTGGTGCCGGGATCATAGGCATGTACCACCATGCCTGGATTTGAGTATGATTTGGGGGTCAGACGTGGGTCTTCATGCTTGCATGACAAATGCTCTATGGACTGGGTTCTCGATCCATCTCTTTAGTTTTGTACCCTGTTAATAGTTGGGAACTGTGGACAACTTTTTAGAAGAACAGTGGCAGACTCTTGGATAGCACGTGCCGTGTAAGGCCCTGGGTTCGATATCCAGCACCAGAAGAAACAGAGGCTAGCAGAGTCGAGAAGTAAGGTTGAACTTGAAAAAGAACCATATCTCAAAATTTCTAGAATGGAGAACGGAAAAACCATTATTGCCATGTTACCATCCCTGTGCAGCGGCCTTCTGTTTCCTCCCGTGTGTGTGTGTTTGCATATAGTCCATCCTTTTACATTTTTATGTGTACATGTGTGCCTGCTTTCTGTCTGTGCACCACAAGCTCACAGGTGCCTTCGGGAGCTGGAGTTACAGGCAGTTGTGAGCAACCTGATGTGGGTGCTGGGAACCGAACCCCAGTCCTCTCTAAGAGCAGCAATGCTTTTAACCATGGAGCCGTCTCTCCAGCCTCCGTAGTCTGTCTTTTTGAAGTTTACACGTGGTAATTCTCCTTTAAGAGTACAGGTACACATTTTATGGAGCATACCACTAGGCCAAGCTTCTGGCTGCTATTGGTAGAAATCTAGGTTGTCTCAAACCTCTTTTTTTAAAATATTTTATGTGTGTGTGTGTGTGTGTGTGTGTGTGTGTGTGTGTGTGTGTGTGTGTGCACCATGTGTGTGCAGGAGCCCACAGAAGCCAGAAGAGGGCACCAGATGCCCTGGATCTGGAGTTAATAGGTGGTTGTGAGCTGCCATGTGGTGCTATGATACAAGCCCTGGGCCTCTGAAGGAGCAGATAGAGCTCCTAACCACAAGACACCTGTGAAGGAGCAGATAGTGCTCCTAACCACTGAGACCCCTCTCCAGCCCTGTGGGGAACCTGCTCCCACCTTTCCCTGGTTACACTTGAGGAGAGAGGGATAATAAAATATCAGGTAGAATGATAGGCCAAGCTGATGAGAGGAAAGACAGAAACACAGTATAGCTTCAGGAGGACCTGGGTCAATACCCAACTGCCCAGAACTTTATTCAAAAGGGCTTTTTATAGCAATGCCATGGGCCAAGGCAAAAGACCTCTCCCTTGCTAGATACAGCCAAGTGTAGACCCTTCCAAACACTTGGTACCCAGGCCTGTGGTCCCTTCATCCTCTTATGCAGCCCTGGTCGGTAAAGCAAGCT